AAGGCAATGTGTCTGTCCAATTTTGTTTATATAAAAGAGTCATCAAATCATGTATAAAATTTCAACTTTTTTAATCTTACATTGGTTTTCAGAATTGTTGCTCAAAAGTCAAGGTCATATACTTAGAAATGCAAATCTATGGACTAAGGTCAATGTATGCCTTGTTTGCCCCTTGACTTCTAGTGAAAGGGCAAGGTTATTTAACTCCATATGTAGGAAGGCCATAAATTCCATAGTTTAAAAATTCTCAACCTGTCAATGAAGAACATCAGGTTAAAATTGCTGTATGTAACAATGGTTATTATAAGTTTTTGGTCTGACTTACACTGTATGTCACTCCTTCCTGTCACATTTTTTCATAAGTTCTATGATTTTCCTTTACTGTATAATTTATGACTTATTAATAATCCTGCTGACGCGTTATTTTTTCAAATATAGTTCCATGTTTAATTTTATCATACAAAAAGTGAATTATTTCAAACTTGAAATGTGTCTCCCTCATCATCACCAACACCATGAACTATTAGCAAGATCCATAACTTTGTCTCATATATATTATGTTCTCTAAGCATTGCACTGTCTTAGATTAGTTGATACAAATTTATTATACCCCACCACAAAATTTGGGGAGGGGGGGGGGGCTATTATGGTTTCGCTTTGTCTTGTCTGTTTCCATTATCGTGTCTGCTTTATAAATCCTATACCAATTTAAGGATTTTTGGCCGGGTTGCACTGTTGCAAACCCGGGTTATAGTATGGTGAATGGGCGGCGGGCGGGCGTCCGGGCGAACGGGCGGGAGGGCGGCGGCTGGGAAAAACTTTCGTAACAGTTTTTCTCAGCAACTACTTATCACAGCCTTTTGATATTTGGTATACAGCATCAACACATGGTCCCATACTGTTGGATTCGATTTCAGGTCGGTCACTCATCTACTTCCTGTTTGCTGACCTAGTTAAATTTTCAACATTAATGGTCAATGCTAGGAAATTTTTGTAACAGTTTTCTCAGCAACTACTTATCACAGCCTCATGATATTTGGCATACAGCATTGACACATGGTCCCATACTGTGGGATTTGATTTTAGGTCTGTCGCTCATCCATTTCCTGTTTATTCCACTTAGTTAAATTAGTTAGATTTTTCAACATTAATGGTCAATGCTTGAAAATTTTCGTAACAGTTTTCTCAGCAACTACTTATCACAGTCTCTTGATATTTGGCATACAGCATTGGCACATTGTCCCATACCGTGGGATTTGATTTCAGGTCTGTCGCTCATCCACTTCCTGTTTATCCACTTAGTTAAATTAGTTAGATTTTTTGACATTAATGGTCAATGGTAGGAAATTTTCATAACAGTTTTCTCAGAAACTACTAATCACAGCCTCTTGATATTTGGCATACAGCATTGACACATGGTCCCATACTGTGGGATTCGACTTTAGGTGTGTAGCTAATCCACTTCCTTTTAACCTACTGAATTAAATTTTCGACATTGATGGTCAATGGAAAATTTTTTGTCGTAACATCACAGCCTCAGGATATTTGGTGTACAAAATGCAACCCGGCCTTTTCTGTCTTTTGACCCATTTTCTTCAAATTTGGCTCAAATGTTCACCTCAACAAGAGAATGTGCAGAATCCATGTTGCCAATGTGTCAGCTCAAGGTCACAATTCAAGGTCAAAGATCAAACAATCAAATACTAGACAGTATGTCGTGTCAGCTCTGTAAGTCCTACACTAATTGAAAGATTTTCTTCAAACTTGGCTCAAATGTTCACATCAGCAAGGGGATGTGCAGAATCCATGTTGCCAATGAGTCAGCTTAAGGTCAAGGTCACAATTGAAGGTCAAATATCAAATAATCAAATATTAGACAGTATGTTGTGTCCGCTCTGTAAGTCCCACACTAATTGAAAGATTTTCTACACTCTTGGCTTAAATGTTCATCTCAACAAGGTAATGCGCAGAACCCATGTTGCCCTTTTGCTGGCTTAAGGTCAAGGTCACAATTGAAGGTCAAAAAATTGACTAAGCACTCTTAGTTTGATAAATATATTATTGGACTTAAGACTTTACCAATTTTCTATGGAAAGAATGAGTCGAGCGAGCTGGCATTTCTGTTTAAATTCTTTTTTTATACCCCCCCACAACAAAGTTGTAAGGGGGGTTTACTGGAATCAGGTTGTCCGGCCGTCCGTCCGTCAGTTTTTTCTTGTCCACCCAATAACTTAAGATTCCTTTGACCTTTAGTCTTCATATTTGGCATGGAGGTTAGTCATGATTAGAAGATGACCACTATTAATTTTTAGGTCACCAGGTCAAAGGTCAAGGTCACAAGGGGCCTTGACTTCAAAAAGCTTGTCAGCCCAATAACTTAAGATTCCTTTGACCTACAGTCTTCATATTTGGCATGGAGGTTAGTCATGATTAGTAGATGACCCCTATTGATTTTGAGGTCACCACGTCAAAGGTCATGGTCACAGGGGCCTTGACTTCAAAAAGCTTGTCCGCCCAATAACTTTAGATTCCTTTGACCTTAAGTCTTCATATTTGGCATGGAGGTTAGTCATGATTAGTAGATGACCCCTATCAATTTTGAGGTCACCAGGTCAAAGGTCAAGGTCACATGGGCCTTGACTTCAAAAAGCTTGTCCGCCCAATAACTTAAAATTCCTTTGACCTACAGTATTCATATTTGGCATGGAGGTTAGTCATGATTAGTAGATGATCTCTATCAATTTGAGGTCACCAGGTCAAAGGTCAAGGTCACAGGGCCTTGACTTCAAAAAGCTTGTCTGCCCAATAACTTGAGATTCCTTTGACCTACAGTCTTCATATTTGGCATAGATGTTAGTCATGATTAGTAGATGACCGCTATTGATTTTGAGGTCACCAGGTCAAAGGTCAAGGTCACAGGGGCCTTGACTTCAAAAAGCTTGTCCTCCCAATAACTTAAGATTCCTTTGACCTACAGTCTTCATATTCGCCATGGAGGGTAGTCATGATTAGTAGATGACCCCTTTTGATTTTGAGGTCACCAGGTCAAAGGTCAAGGTCACAAGGGCCTTGACTTCAAAAAGCTTGTCCGCCCAATAACTTAAGATTCCTTTGACCCACAGTCTTCATATTTGGCATGGAGGTTAGTCATGATTAGTAGATGACCCCTATTGACTTTGAGGTCACCAGGTCAAAGGTCATGGTCACAGGGGCCTTGACTATAAAAAGCTTGTCTGCCCAATAACTTTAGATGCCTTTGACCCACAGTCTTCATATTTGGCATGGAGGTTAGTCATGATTAGTAGATGACCCCTATTGACTTTGAGGTCACCAGGTCAAAGGTCATGGTCACAGGGGCTTTGACTATAAAAAGCTTGTCCGCCCAATAACTTAAGATTCCTTTGACCTACAGTCTTCATATTTGGCATAGAGGTTAGTCATGATTAGTAGATGACCCCTATTGATTTTGAGGTCACCAGGTCAAAGGTCAAGGTCACAGGGGCCTTGACTTCAAAAAGCTTGTCCGCCCAATAACTTGAGATTCCTTTGACCTACAGTCTTCATATTTGGCATGGAGGTTAGTCATGATTATTAGATGACCCCTATTGATTTTGAGGTCACCAGGTCAAAGGTCAAGGTCACAGGGCCTTGACTTCAAAAAGCTTGTCCGCCCAATAACTTAAGATTCCTTTGACCTACAGTCTTCATATTCGGCATGGAGGTTAGTCATGATTAGTAGATGACCCCTTTTGATTTTGAGGTCACCAGGTCAAAGGTCAAGGTCACAAGGGCCTTGACTTCAAAAAGCTTGTCCCCCAATAACTTAAGATTCCTTTGACCCACAGTCTTCATATTTGGCATGGAGGTTAGTCATGATTAGTAGATGACCGCTATTGACTTTGAGGTCACCAGGTCAAAGGTCATGGTCACAGGGGCCTTGACTATAAAAAGCTTGTCTGCCATCTAAATTTAGATGCCTTTGACCCACAATCTTCATATTTGGAATGGAGGTTAGTCATGATTAGTAGATGACCCCTTTTGATTTTGAGGTCACTGGATCAAAGGTCAAGGTCACAGGGACCTTGACAAAAAAAGCTTTTCTTCTCAATTGCTAAAGAATGCCTGTCCGCAGTGTATTGATTTTGACATTTTCACATTTGAATCATGTAGTATACATAACTTAGCAATGCACTGGCTTAGTAACCTCAGATTTGGCAGGGAGGTTGTCCTTGAGCTCTAAATGGCCACTGTTGATTCTGACAATGTGGTATGCGGGGGTAATCACGCCATGATAGTGGCAGTTCTAGTTTGTTTTACTCTTACTCTGTTTTTACGTTTTTGTTTTACTGTTATTACTCATACTATTTTTTTAACAAAAACAATTTAGAAGTTTGCACTTGATCAAAATAACAGCACCAACATGTAGTCCAGTTTATCTTGTTATTCTATGAGCACCTATAATAAATTAACTTTTTCAAGTCCATTAATTTTGCTAACAATATAACTCTTTAAACAACTTTAGTTTGGTCTCAAATATATTTCTTGCTGACAGTATTATTTTTCCACTTGATTTACATGTGCTGGAAATTTGACTATAGCATGGGAGTAGCCAGATAAGATGTACTATGCAGAGCTAGACATCATTTAGCCTTTTGAATAATGTTGTAAATCCATATACACTACTATAATAATTTAAAATAATTGAAAATGAAGCATTTAAAATATGGTATTTAATGCAAGATAACATGTTTTAAAGTCATTTTTTTATGGACACATTTTTTACACTTTTTCTTATACAGTATCTGTGGCATAATTGACTTATGGACACATTTGTCCACTTTTTCTTATCTCACAGTCTTTGTCCACTTTTTCTGGACACACAGTCTTTACAGTTTCTGTGGCAGCATTGTCTTATGAACACATTTTTTTAGACTCTTTCCTATTCAGTCTCTAGCTAGCTGTGACATCATTGTCTTATGGACACATTTTTTACATTTTTTACATTTTCTTATACAGTTTCTGTGGCATCATTGTTTTATGGACACATTTTTTTGGTTTTGTTTGCTATGTTGCCAGTCATACCAATACTATTAAGTTATAATTAAGGATATTTTCCAGTTTTTTTCAGCACAGAAGATATCATGTGCCCTCTTAAGCATTATTTTAAGCACAAGGGGGCACCTGACTGGAGCAACTGACTTTCCTTAAGCAAATTTGTAGGATGAGAAGCATTCATGTTCTTTATTTAGTGAACTCACTTAGTGACTTGATTTAAAGAATGATGTAATTTATATTTTCCGGGACTGATGGAGTGCATAAAGAAGAAAACTAGAGATCAATTGCAGCAGACTGTAGGCGACTGTTATTTTGGAGTTGTTTGCATTTCATTAAATGGTGAGTATTACATGTCTAATGCAGAAAATTCTTTGATTTTTGTTATTTGCAATTTGTTAGCATAATTGAAGGTACGATTGTTTCGTATGTTGTTTGTTTTGTTTTAGTATGTTTTTCTCTTATTTGGTTAGATCTATACTTTATATAAATGTTTATTTGTGTTTTGAAAATTGATATTTATTAATGATATTCATATTCATTGGGATTAAATTCAAATGCTGTTGGTGACGAAACAGTTGCCTTAGACAATTTGCAAACCTTGGTCATATTGAATTCCGTAGAAGCTACTCTCCCACACAAAACAGGTCTAAATCATACATGCCATGATTTCTAGACTGTTTTACTCAGGACACTTTAAAAAATGTTAAAAATTGTAAATATGTATCCTAGTATATTAATATTTACAACTTGCAAATATTATGATACAGTTAAGCATGTGCTATGCTTTATCCAGTGTCTATTCTAGGATTTCAAAATTAGGGGTGATTTTCCCCCCTCTATTTCAAAAAAGGGGGCAATTTTCAAAATCAAGGGGTGCCAATGTAAACTGCCAATGTTAAATAGTCTGCAATAAGTTTAAACTGAGGTGTTCAATCAATAAAATAATTAAAACTAAGGCAGCAGAAGTTGTGCCCCCTTAATTTTTTTACGAAAACAAATCATTATAGAACTGTCGTGAATGAGGGATTGACAATACAAAAAATAGACCTATCTTTCACTTTTAGATCGAAGCCAATCTAGGAATTGTCTCATTTTTCTTGATTATTTTCTACACTAAAATGGTGCCCGACTGTCAGACCTAGCACACTAGTTATGGCCGGTAAGGAACATTCTGTTAATTTCCGTCAACTCAAGTAACCAGTACCATACGGTACTAAATTTTTATAATGAGCTTACAGTTACTTCCCTTCAGTTTCCGGTGTAAATGTATACAAAACAACCAAATATAATGCAGAATGGAAGTTTAAGGATTTTATAAACATTTTTTATAGATGCGAGATTTTCACGCTCATGATTTTGAATTGTGCGCGATCTGTGAAATACTAGCGTGAATCGCGTAATCGAGCATCCTAGAATAGACACTGTTTATCACTGTGGTTGTGTAAGGTCTAAATGTTAAAAAAAGCCCCAAAGCCAGAACTATCACGAAGGGGGGGATTAAGCAGTCAGACACAGCGATCTCCAAAAAGTCATGGCGATTTATACTACAAATCAATGTGCATGTAGTCATCCTTAAATCAATCTGAAGATGGAATAGTTTTTTTAAAACCTGGAATACACTTAAAATGATTCTATTTTCATGCCCTCACTAAAAATATATTTGACCAAAAGTCATGAAGATTTATAGAAATGTTTGTCAGCAGGTGTAGTTGTGCACCTAGGGGTTTGATTGTGGAATTATTCAATATTTACAGAGTTATCGCCCTTTACTAAGTAATTAATCACTCTTTTTTGCAATATTTTTAACTTGTGTCTTGCGTCACAACTCCAGGAAATATTTGACCTAAAGTCATGTAACTTTACAGAAATGTTCGTCAAAAGGTGTAGTTTTGCACCTGGGGGTTTAATAGTGGTATTATTCAGTATTTGTAGAGTTATGCTCTTGACTTAGTTATTTTTTTTGCAATTTTCAACTTATATTTTGCGTTAACCCCCAAAAAAATTTTGAAGTCATTTAATATGCATAAGTAAATTTGCATTTTCCACAATATAAATGTGACAAAACGATTAAGTTTCACATGACACAGGTAAAAAACCACTATTATCTATCACATGTTATCATGTGTCGATCAGGACTAGAACTTATCTTATAAAAGTGAGTTTAAATAGAATTACTGATATACATGTATGTTCTTCTTTTTAGCTCACCTGAGCTTGATCAGGGTGAGCTTTCAGGATCTTTGAATTTCCATCAAACTTTGTCAGGATGCTTGTCTATGTGATAGCTTAGATAAGTTCGAAAATATGTCATCTCAGATGAAAAACGAGGTCACTGGAGCTTAAAATAGAAAAACCTTGTTAACACTGTAGCGGTCACATTTTTGCCTCAATCATCATCAAACTTGGTCAGGATGCTTGCCTAGGTGATATTTCGGATGAGACTGAACATGGGTTTTTTCGGATGAAAAACTAGGTCACTGGAGCTAAAAATAGAAAAATCTTATTAACACTCTAGCGGTCACATTTTTGGCTCAATCATCATCAAACTTTGTCAGGGTGCTTGTCTAGCTCGAATAGGTAGGAACATGGGTTATCTTAGATGAAAAACTCTGTTAGATAGCTAAGATATTTAGCATGAAACATCTTCTAATAGGTGTCTATCAAGTTTGTTCAAATAACCCTTGCAGAAATTACTGGTAATTTACCAGGATTTTACTAGGATTTTAATTGGAAATCCCAGGAATATTTACAGGGATAATTCCTAGGAAATGCAAGGAAATCTGAGGAATTTCCAGTTACTGGCTGGCGGTAATTGGAACGACTGAAAACTACTGGTAATAACTAGAAAAAAAATGTGAAACCAGGAATGTCTTAGATCGACTTGTTCTGGAAAATCCTAATCACTGAGAATGACCTGCCCACGGTATTTGGAACATTTTTTCTAGTAATGCCTTGGCATTTCAAAGAACTTGGATATCCCAGAAGTTCCTGGTCTTTCCATGATCTTAGGAATGGCTGGAATTGCCTAGGATTGCACTGTACTGGAAATTCCCAGCAACTGGGTATGACTTGACCACAGCTGAAATACTGTTACTAGGGCCACCAAAGGATCATTACAATTAAAATCAAATAATCGGTTTTGTAGAAGATATCATTACAAGAAATTGCTGACAATACAAGATGCCATTGGACACAGGGCAATCACATTACTTCACATAAGCACATTGTACTGATGTGAACTAAAATGTGCACTTTTAAATCCAGTTAAATGACAAGCAGTTCAACATCAGTCATAAGCAAACTATTAAATTTAATAAAAAGCATGATTGCATATGAAACAAAGTATTTTCCTTACAGTTTAATTGTTTTTGTATTGTTTAGACACACTTCTTTAGATATATCATTGTAGTTACTGGAATGCAATGAGCTTTGGCAATAACACTTTACTTAAGATTCCTTTTTTTAAAACAGTGTAACATGTGACACCTCTTTGAATTTAGCACTAAAAGTTAAAACATTATAATACTTGACTAGGTCACTCCTAGATTTTAATTTGCTTTCATCATTTTCTTAACTGATTGAATGAGGGACATCACTTAAACAGTCTAAGAAACATCACTTAAACAGTACAAAACATGACGCAAGAAACCTCCAGTATTACATGCAACTCCTACATTTTCTATTGCTGTCTTCTGAAATGAGTAAATCCTTGCTGCAAGATCCAATTTTTGCCGGTTTAATAATTTTCTTGTCATCAAATCTTTCATACTGAGAATCTCAGTAATCCACTGAATTTGATGATCTCTGGGTAATCAAATGAAATGTTGATCTTTGGTAATCCAACGACTTCTTTGCATTTTTCACATAATATATATATATATATACACAACAGATAGGAAGCTCTAAAAATAGATAATAGTCAGATTTAGACCCACAATCCTTTGCAGGCTTCGGTGATATTTGGGTTTTCTTGATAGTCTCCAATTTTCGCACTCTCAGTAAACTTGGACGATATCCATGAATTATTGTTTACATACCCCGACATAGATTTTCATCAGAGAAATATTTGTATAGAAAAGTGTGTATAGTACCTTTTACAATAAATAACTATTGCTTTTTATTTAAGCAAAAAAATGTTTCATCTTCCTCCGGGAATTCAATATGACGGTGTTTTGGCTATTTTTACCCAGGATGCATCTAATCTCTGAAAATCCCGCAACATATGATAACTTATAAGAACACAATTCTGCCAATACTGAATTTAACTGTGTGACATCACAGTTTCTTTTCCATGTATATTTAGCTCCATGGCATTTTGTACAACTTGCCCTCTTTCAATTAACTGAAGAATTTATTTTTCTATATCAAAAGTTTTTGACCCGTTTTATGGATTTAAGCTCTCACTCTCCTCAGCTTTGAACATCATCCACAAGTTGGTTGAACTCCTGCCTATGTGGTCTTGTGGTACCAATTCATATCTGAAATCAAACAAATACATTTCTCTACATGATGGAAATATACCAAGATATTTGAATACGAAATAAATACTAATCACTTGGCAGGACGTGAAGTAGATGCACACTTGGTTCAAGCAAGTAAAATCATTGCAAACTTGACAAAATGGTTTCTGTGTCTTAAATATTTACCAAAACTCACATATTTTTTCAGGTAAGTGGGTTTGTATGTTATTTGATTTTTTTTTTTAAATGGCCATTCATGAAGGAAGTGTTTATGACACACTCTGTTCTGGGCCTCAGATTTGTAGCTTTTGGTTATACAAAGCTATTGAAGTTATAAACTGGTCATGTACATATTTTGAAAGTGGATAAGTGAAAATCCAGGGCGGTTTTTATGCTCATTTATTCACATATGTAAGTTTTTGAAGTTCACCAAAAAAGGCAAACTAATGAAAATATACTGTGTATTTTTATTATTATTATTTATTATCATTGTTATTCTGTAATTAGTGATGTTGATCATTATTTCTGTAAAGTTGCGTTGATTCTAACTCGAGCACATCAAGGAAACAAATAACACAACATAATGAAACGGTTTTTACGTAGTCAAGGGAAATAACTCTACAAAAACGGGATAAATCCCACAAGCGGAACCCAAGGTGCACAACTACATATGTGTGACCAACCTTCCCGTTAGGTTTAATGACTCTATGTCAAATCCTTTTTGATTTCATGTGACAAGTTTGAAATTGCAAAAATTTTCAAAGTCAAGGTCAATAACTCTAAAAAATAAAATAAATCCACACGAAAATATCCAGTGCACAACTTCACATGCTGATCAAACATTCCTGCAAAGTTTCATGACTATGTCAAACCCATTTT